TTGATTATTGTTATTTTTGTTATGTGCCATCTAGTTGGATTCAACTCATAGCTGGCCCTCCACTTGATTTTATTTTATTATTTTATTTTATATTATATTATTATTTATATTATTTTATTTATATTATGTTATTATTGTTATTTTTGTTATGTGCCATCTAGTTGGATTCAACTCATAGCTGGCCCTCCACATGATTTTCAGAGACTGTAAACTTCATAAGAGGAGATTGTCCATCTCTGTCTATTAGAATAACTGGTGGATTTAATCTGCTTGTTGTTTGGGTTGGCAGCACAACCCCTTACCAATAGGCTGTCAGAGCTCGTTAAGTATGACCATAGTTGGCATTATATGGATATATCCTTAATTCTTTTTCTTGCCACCAGCGCCAGAAAGGAGCTCAATGTAAACAGAGGTGTATAGCAAAGTGGAGTTGGGGAGAGGGTGGAAATTGTGCAGCAATGAAAGAATCTTTGTTAAAAAGAAAAGCGAACTGAAGGAGGGGTAGGGAGGAAAATGTGCAATAAATGGGAATCCAAGTTTTTTGTAAACTTTTGTTAAAGTATTAATAAAAAAATAAATAAAATGGATCCTTTATTACTATAAGGTACTTAAAGACATAATATAGAGCAGAATAGGATAAAAAAGCTGAAAATTTTAAATTACTACAAATAATAAATTATTTGTATTTTTAACTATTAGCAAGTATTCAGAGACAAATTAGCAGTTTTTTAAAATGGGGAAGTAAAAAAAGTGGTTGCAGTTCATCTTCATCAATGTATTATAATGAGTCACAGAAAGTGTGAGGGAGGGAATTATTTAGATGAATTTAGAAGGAAACACTTTAAAACTATCTTATAAGATATCAAATTTTTTTAAAAAAATTAAACTTTTAAAAAAATCACAAACTTTTTCATGCATATTTAATAAGAAACAAAATATTCCTATGTAGTGCTTTTTTGAGACAATTTTTATACATTTTACTTACCCATGGTTTTGTGTCTTGATCTGATTATGATGGTTATTTGGGGTGTTTTTTTTTTTTGTTTTTTTTTTGGTTTGGATTTTTATTATGCTAGTTTATTTACAAAAGTGGAATACATTGTTTTTCAGACCAAATTCCTCCAATTTCCCTCACCCCACCCACCCATCAAATTGTACAACCCCATGATTAATTCCCCCCTCCCCCTGCACAACCTCATCCCACTGCTTCTACCCTCCCCTCCACCCCTTGGATTCTTATACTCATTCTACAATAATGGTTTTATAAAGTATTTGTCCTTGTTGGACTGAGTTAGTTCACTCAGCATAATGCTCTCAGTCCCTTCCAAGTTAGGTAATAATTTACAAAATCATTGCTCCTGGGTATTAATTCCATTGTATGAATGTCCATAATTTCTCAATCCATTTGATTGTGGTTAGATATCTGGGCTGTTTCCATGTTATTGCTATGGTGAATAACGCTGCTATGAACATTGGTGTATAAGTCTCCGTTTGTGCCTGAATTCTCATTTTCTCAGGGAACATTCCATTCCAAACAGTGGAATAGCTGGGTCATATGGAATTTCTATGTCCAGCTTTTTGAGGAAGTGCCAAACTGCCTTCCAGAATGGTGGTACCATTTTACAATCCCACCAACAATGTATAAGAGTTACTATCTCGCCACATCCTCTCCAACATTTATTACTTGCTGTCCTGTTAAACTTTGCCACTGCTTCTGGGATGAGATGGTTTCTCATTATGGTTTTGATTTGCATCTCTCTTATTGCCAGTGATTTGGAGCATTTCTTTATGTGTCTCTTTGCCATTCAAATATCTTCCTCTGTGAAAAGTCTTTCTATGTCCTTTGCCCATTCTGTAATTGAGTTAGCAGTCTTTTTCTTGTGGAGGCCCAGGTGTATTCTGTGTACTTTTGTTATGAGACTATTATCTGAGATGGTATTATCAAATGTTTGTTCCCAGTCAGAGGTTTTCTTTTCACCCTGTTGGAAAAAAGGTTTTGATTTGCATAGGGATTTAATCTTTAAAAGGTTTCATTCATCAATTTTATTCTCTTCAGATAGTACATTTCTGGCTATATTTGGCAGTCTCTTTATACCATAGTCTAGGACTTCTAAGCTTGACCGCAGGTTGGCTCTTATGTACTTTATGGTTTTGGCCTTTACTCCTAGGTCTCTGATCCACCTTGAGTTGATTTTTGTGTATGGTGTGAGATGTGGATCCTGTTTCAGCTTTCTGCAGGTGGAGGGTTATTTGGTTTTATAATGTAAAAGCCTCTAGTTGAAAAAAATTTGTTATGATAAAATACATTGCAAAACTTTGACATTTCAACCATTTATGTATAAATTTAATAATATAACATTTAACATGTTGTTGCAACCATCACCTCTGTATGTTTTTATTTTTATTCAAATTAATATAAAGAATCCTATTCAACCATTCACACACATTTTGTTTTATAACATTAATTATAACCCTAAAAAACTGGGTCTCTATATATTTGCAAACTCTGGAAGCAGAAGTGGCATCCACTTTCATAATAGCTTGCCTCTGGAAACCCTATGAACCTGAAAAAGGATGAAAGTCATGCAAGTGTTGAGGACTTCTGTACATAGGGTCGCTATGAGTCGCCTATGACTTGATGACACTTAACAACAATGACAACAACAACTCTTGCCACTTCTGTTCTACTCTTTTACTTCAGCACTTTTCCCCCCTTTGTTTTAGCTTCTCAACACTCTAGTATAATTTTCAGAGTCTCTTCTGACATCCATTTCAGTTTTTGCTTTCTTCTCTGTCTTTGTAATGACCTTCTGCTCTCTTCATGGATGATACTCTTGATGTCATCCCACAACTCATCAGTCTTTGATCATTTGTATTCAAACCTTAAAACCTTTTCTTAAGATGATTCTGAAATTCAGGTTCTCATGGACTTGTTTTTCTTTTGTCTCAATTTGAACTTGCACATGAGTAATTGATGGTGTATTCCACAGTCTGCTGTAGCCTAGTTTTACTGCTGATATTGAGCTTCTCCAATGATTCCTTCCACAGATACAGTCAATCTGGTTTCTATGTAGTACATTAGGTGAGGTCCATGTGTAGTCGTCATTGGTGGTTTTTAAAAATGTATTTTCAATGAAAACATCATTGACATACAAAACTCCACCATTCTATTTCCAACATCATTTCTGTCACCAAGTCCATACTTTATGACTCCTATTCCTTCTTCATTATTTCCAATTTTGCATTCCAGTCATCAATTATCAATTATTATGCATCTTGAATCCATGTTTGGTCTGGTCAGTTTCAGATTGCAAGGTGTGGTAAAAGTGTGCAATTCCTTCCTCTTTGGTTTTAGTTGTAGAAGTGTGTATGTGAGTAATAGTCGTATTAACAGATCTTCCTTGTATGTTGTTGTTGTTGTTATGTGCCATCGAGTCACTTGCGGCTCATAGCGACCTTATGTACAACAGCCCTAAACGCTGCTCTGTCCTGTGCCAATCGCACTGTCTCTGACACTCCCATCCTGATTACCCCAGTCACTGAATCAATCCACCTCCTAGAGGGCCTTCGCCTCCTGCGCTGTCCCTCTACCCTCCCAAGCATGATGTCCTTCTCCAAGGACTGGAGTCTCCTCACAACATGTCCAAAGTATGTTAGATGTAGCCTCAGAATCCTTTTGAGGATTTACTAGATTTTGTGTTTGAACTATTTCTGTGGCACCATTAATTGCCTTCTAAGTCTTTGAGTAAATCAATATCATTATTGTGACTGAACAGCCTCTAACCACAGACTAAAATTTTTCTGAGGTAAACATGGAAGAGTTTCAAGTTCAGGCCAACTTCAAAAGAACTGGTAACATTTTACTAAAGAATCTGTTTTCCATATTTTTTTGGTTGCCTCGAAAACATATTTGTGCCTTAACAAAAGGGCAACCCAATCATGTCGAAATTGTAGGGGAATGATTTTTCCCAAATCACATGGGAAAGATTTTTGTTGACGGGTACCCACTTATATTTCTGGATATTTTAAATTTAGAGTTAGGAATCCCTCTGAACCATACTATCCCTGGTGCCCACATGTCATATGTTGACCAAGTAGGAGAAATTATTATCAATCATCATCTTTGGGTTTGCAGCACAACTAGCTGTGGCCTACTCTACCAGAGCTTCTTTATACAAGATCATCTTGAGGGCTCACTATTTGATGCTTAATGTTAAGTGATCTGTTTTGCTTGGCGGTTTTGTTTGTTTGTCTTTTTACCTTAGCCAACCGCCGAAATGTTTATAAATTGGAGAAAGAAGAACAAATCCCAGATGGAATGTGTATTGATGTTGAGGGGAAGCTTTGGGTGGCCTGCTACAATGGAGGAAGAGTGATTCGTTTAGATCCTGAGACAGGTAGGCTTACAGAAAAATTGAAAGTCTCTGCTATTTCTGGACAACATCAGACATGAAGATATATTAAAATGGTTTTACTGGATGATTTGGGATCAAATCCTAAGATAGAGTCCAAGATTTATAGTCATAACTTCTTTTCTTGTGGAGATGTTTATTTTTTCCTCAGTAATTTTTTTATTCTTGTAAATATATAAACTATTGTTATCACTAGGCACTGTATTATTTCTTCTGATTCACAGTTTTACCCTATAAATAGCAAAATAAGACATAGCCTGGTCCTGCACTACTCTTACAATGTGTGTGTGTGTGTGTGTGTGTGTGTGTGTGTGTGTGTAGCACTTGCCATTTCAGCAATCTTCATATATACAATTTGAAGACATTAAATATGTTCATGTTGTTTCAACCATTACCTGTTCAAGACAAGACTTCTTGCTCAAAAGAAATTGTCAGAGAAAGTAGTCTAAATGCATAGCATAGATGAATTCTGACCTCTAGAGTCTTTTTAGAACTTCCCTATTACTTCTCAAGAGATTCAGAAATGTGGCTCATGTTGGAAATGTGCTAGATCTTGAGTTTAAATAATCTATTTGATCATCTAGGAAAAAGACTCCAAACTGTGAAGTTGCCTGTTGATAAAACAACTTCATGCTGCTTTGGAGGAAAGGATTATTCTGAAATGTATGTGACCTGTGCACAGGATGGAATGAATCCTGAGAGTCTTTTGAAACAGCCTGAAGCAGGTGGGATTTTCAAGGTAATCTGTCTATTTATTTTCTTTTGGGTATTGCATAGAGGACCCTTTGTTAAATAATTGAATGATTAGTGTTTTTGTCTACAATCAAAACATGTATACAATGAAAACCTTGAGAACCTGAATTCAATTGTTTCTATTATTTGTCCAAGTTTCTTAAGTTTTCACCTTTGAGAAGATACAGTTTTACCATTGTTGTATAATTTTTTTATTATAAGAAAATATTTGCATTTTCCTTCTGTTAGGTACACAAGTTTTAGCATTCATTATTTTTATTATTTAGAGCTCATTTTGCCAGATTTTAAAACATTTTATTTAGACTGACTAGATTATAGATTCAGAGCTTAATCCACAGGGAATTTCACTGCTAACCCAAAGGTGATGCCTTTCTAGTAGTTTGAATCCACCAGCAGCTCCACAGAAGAAAGATGGCCGATCTCCTTTTGTAAGAGTTAGTCTCCAATAACCCATTATGAGTTGGTGTCTACTCTCCGGCAGTAAGTTTCATATTATAGGTTAGCTAAATTCCAGGGAGTATTGGCCATCCTGTCATGCCAACATGGACCTCAGCTGGAGTCTGAGAAGGATGTCCTGTTTCATGATATTTGTATCCCTGGTTGCCTTTACGATATGCTCTTAAAGGTATAACATCTACTTCTCAGTTTGTTTATTGGGGAATGATTTGCCTGTTGCCAGTTACTTTATATTTTCAATGTGTGTGTTGTTATTATGTGCCATCGCGTCATTTGCGACTCATAGCAACCCTATGTATAAGAGCCCTAAACGCCGTTCTATCTTGTGCCAACCTCACTGTCTCAAACACATTCATTCCCATCACTCCAGTCACAGAATCGATCCATCTCATTGAGGGTCTTCCTCTTCTGTGCCGTCCCTCCACTCTGCCAAACATGATGTCCCTCTCCAAGGACCAGTCCCTCCTTGCAACATGCCCAAAGTATGTCAGACAAAGCTTCAGAATCCTTGACTCCAGGGAACATTCTGGCTTCACCCTCTCAAGGACAAACCTGTTTGTTCTCCTAGCAGTCCATGGTATATAGGGTTGAGTATTACCATGTGCTCCAATTAGTACAACACTTGTCTTTTAGTCCACTGTACTGGTTTAGTTTGTGGGCTGCTGTAATATTAAAAAAAAGTACCACCAATATCTAAAGTGCCAGAAGGGTCACCCATGATGGAGATGTTGCAGCAGAGCTCCTAGATTAAGACAGATTAGGAAGAAGGATTGGCCATTCACATCCAAAACAACGGGTCTTCAAAAACCCTATGAACTGAGGAAACAGGTAGTTACACTGTTAGAGGTAAATCCAAGGTAGAAGGTGACTAAAAAATAAGTAGCAACAGTTGCAGACATTAATAATTGGAACATGGAATGTACAAAGTATGAATGTAGGAAAATCAGAAAATTGTAAAATATGAAATGGAATGCATGAAGATTAATATTTTAGGCATCTGTTAATGGAGATGGACTAGTATGGGGCACTTCGAATCAAGTAATCATAAAATTGACTATGCTGGGAATGAAAAACTAAAGAAGAATGATGTTGCTTTCATAATTAAAAAGGCAATTTCAAGATCCATCATGAAGTACAATACTGTGAGTGATATGATACTATTTGTACACATACTAGGAAGATTTATTATGGAGCTATTATCTAAGTATTTATACCAACAACTGATGCCAAAGAGAAAGAGATTGAGGAATTCTACTAACTTTTGCAGTCCAAAATTGACCAAACATGAAATCAAGATCAATAAATAATTTTTGGTGACTAGAATGCAAAAGTTGGAAAGTATGGACTTGGTGACAGAAATGAGAAGTTGAATGATTAAATTATGTGTGCTCAATGATTTACTTATAGCAAATATCTTTGTCAAACAATGACTTTATACATGGACCTTACCTGATGACTGCACAGGAATCAGATAAACTCTATTTGCAGAAAGAATCATTGGAGAAGCAAAATATCAGCAGTCAAAATCAGACCAGGTGCTGATTATAGAATAGATTATCAATTACCCATGTACAAATTTAAACTATAGAAAGGCAAAACTAGTCCACAAGAACCAAAATACAACCTTGAATCTATCCCAGTTGAACTTAACAATCATCTCAAAAACAGATTTGACTCAGTTACAAAAAGACAAATACTGTGTAACACCACTGTTATAAAACAAAACTAACATGGAGGTTGGGAGGAAACTAAGAAAAGAGGGAATAAATAATGAACACTGCATTGGAACAGACGAAGGAAATAACTGTTTAAAAGGAATGTATTATTAGGCATTATTTACATGGCAATAGTCCGGAATAAGAGGTGCATAGTTAAGTGAACTGGGGTGGAGGAAGGGAGGAAGTTATACAACAGTGAATGAATTTTTTTTAAAGTGAACTGGGCAGGGGGGCAGTTAGGGAGGAAAATGTGCAACAATGAATGAATGAAATCCAAGTCTTCTGTAAACTTTTGTTAAAATCACAACTAAAAATATTTTTTAAAAAAACGAAAAGAGGTTTAAGTCATTGAACACCTGTGATTGAAGACAAGAGAAACTTTGGGGAAGATATAAAAGATATTATGTACGAAGACAGCCAACTACATTTAAATTTCTATTTATGTATTATTGACTATGCAAAGGCATTTGACTGTGTGGATCATAACAAATTATGGCTAACATTGAGAAGAATGGGACTCTTAGAACACTTAACTGTGTTCATGAGAAATCTATACCTAGACTAAGAAGCTCTTGTCCAAATGGAGCAGGGAAACACAGCATGGTTTAAAATCAAGAAGGAAGGATGTGTGACAGGGTTGAATCCTTTCTCCATACCTATCAATCTGTGTGCTAAGCAAATAATTCTAGAAGCTGGATTCTATGAAGTGGAAAGTGGCATCAGAATCAGAGGAGGACTCAACAGCCTGTGTTAAACAGATGATACTACCTTGTTTGTTGAAAATGCAGACAATGTTTAATGCTTACTGTAGAAGATCAAGGACTGCAAGATTTAGTATGGATTGCATCTCCACATCTAGAAAGCAAAGGTCCTCACCACGAAACCAACAGTCAACATTATAATAGATGAAGAAAGGATTGAAGCTGTGTTCAACACCCTGGGTACCAGCAGTCAGGAAATCAGTAGAAATATTGTCCTATGCAAGTCCACTGTCAAGGACCTCTCCAAAATGCTTGAAGAGTAATGAGATCAGTTTGAAGAGTAATCCATGGTATTTTTCACCCACGTACTACATATCAGAGAGCTGAACAATGAATAAAGATGATAGAAAAAAATTGATGTCTTTATGCCTTTGAATTTTGATGCTGCAAAAGGGTCCTGAATATCCTATGGACTGCCAAAATAATGAACAGATACGTGTTGGAAAAAGTTCAGTAAAAGAGTGTTCCTTGGAGGCAAAGATGACAAAGTTTCATCTCTCATACTTTGGAAATATAGCTAGATGAGGCTACTCCTTGTAAAGGGACACTGCTGGGAAAGGAGTATCAGCAAAAAAGAGGAAGACCCTCAATGAGATAGATTCACATGTAACTTCAACATTGAGCTCTAGTGTGTCAGACATGAGATAGAGCAGGCTCAGGTTGGCTGTTTGTTTATAGGGTTGTGATGAGTCATTTTCAACTAAACAACATCTAACAACAACAACACCCAGGAAAAAATGTGAATGAGCTTAGAAAAGCAGTGTTGAAACTTATTTACAAAATTTGTTGATTGTTTAATGTCACAAGAATATTTTCAGCCTTTTAACATAATTTTTTCAACAAAACAAACACCGATGAAAATATGGACCTTTTGAGCTGAAAAGAAATATAGAAATTTTCCTATTCAGACTCTGTTCTAAATAGATGGTAAAGTGATAAGAAATGGAAAGGAAATATAAATTCAGTTCCAGATACTGTTTAGTAGTAAATAGTTGCTAGTTTATGTCTTTTTTATGATGGAGTATGTTATTGTTATTGTTAGGTGCCATTGGGTTGAGTACAACTCATGGCAACACAACAACTGGTCTGAACACAGTCCTATCTCGTGTCATCTTCACAATCTCTGAACCCTCAAGCCCATTGCTGAACTCACCATGTCAGCTCACCCCTCCAACTTTCCAATCAAATTCCTTATTCAAGGAATAGCTTCTCCTAGCAATATGCCTAAAGTATGTGAGATGAAGCTTTATTTTTACAGCACTTTGGCTGTACCTTTTCCAAGCCATATCTCTTTGTTCTTTTGGCAGTCCATGGACTCTTGAGCACTTTTTTCCAACACCAAAAGCATCAATTCTTTTTCTCTGATCCTTATTCATTGTCCAGCTTTCAGATATATAGCAAGTGATTCCAAAGACCAGGGCCTGGATCCTTGGAAAATATCAATAGCACATTGTTGTTGTTGTTATGTGCCATCGAGTCATTTCCGACTCATAGCGATGCTATGCACAACAGCCCTAAACCCTGCTCTATCCTGCACCAACCGCACCGCCTCTGACACACCCATCCCGATTACCCCAGTCACCAAATCAATCCATCTCATAGAGGGTCTTCCCCTCCTGTGCTGTCCCTCTGACAATAGCACATAGCAAGCAAAATACTGCTGAGGATCAATCGAAAACGCCTAGAACAATACATAAACAGAGACTTGCCAGATGTTCAAGCTGGATTTAAAATAGGCCATGGCACCAGAGATATAATACTTATGTCAGATGGATCCTGGCTAAAAGCAAAGAATAATAAGAAAATATCTATTTGTGCTTTATTGACTATGCAAATGCATATTACTATGTGGATTATAATAAATTATGACTGACATTGAGAAAAATCGGAATTCCAGATTGTGCTCTTGTGAAACCAAGACCAAGAGTTTGTTTTGTGACAGAGCAAGGGAATACAGCATTAAGAGAGGGAATAAAACAAGGACAATAGCTAGCTAAGTATATTATTGTGAATACTAAAGTTGCTTTACAGAATACATGTGAATTATCTTTTTTTTACCAGATTTTCTCTTTTTTTCAACAGATAACTGGCCTGGGGGTCAAAGGAATATGCCCCTATCCTTATGCAGGATAAGTAATGAGATTTCTTTCTTCCTGAAGGAAACATTGAAGTCAACTAGAATTCTGGGGGTGAGATCTCAAAAAAATGAAACTATGATGCTATTGTTTAGAAGCATTATTACTATTTAAAAGGTAGAATATGTTAAACAAGAGATGATGAGTTAATTTGATGACACATTATAATGTCTTCTTAAAAAGAAATGCAAATAACTTTTCAACTGTAAATCAGCCACTTGAATCCACAAATTGCTTAGAGGAAAAGACTATATTTGTTCTTTAATCTGCATTTCATATGTGATATACCTACCCACAACTTAAAAAAATTCCAATAAATTATAAACTGTTTGTGACTTGTTTCTATTATGCTCATTTTTGCTTTCACCATAACCTTATAAAATGCATTGCAATACTAATTTACCTTAAAATTACTCTTTAAATAAGTTACTTTTACAAACTACAGTGCTGTTGGAAGGTAAGAATTAAACACTTTGGCAAAATCCATGATTCCAGCTACCACCTGCCAGATATATAAGTAGTATGGCACTTTGGAAAGAATACTTTCAAAGAATAATTTATTGAGGAGTAATTGACCTGCATATGTAACCTATAGGGACCACTGGTGGCCTAGTGGCAAGGAGTTGCACTGCAATCACAAAGCCACACAGTTCTAATCCACCAGCAGCTCCACTCCACAGGAGCAGCTCCACAGGATCAGCTCCACAGGCTGGGTACTCACCTCTCGTGTGATTAACTGCCCCTGGAAAACCTACCAGAGGGTCAGCTATGGGTTGGCTCCTACTCAGCAGTACACAACAGCATATGTAACACATACAACATGATGTTTAATATATACACATCCATAAAGCCAAAACCACCATCAAGAAATAACAATTTCCTTCTAAAGCATTTTTATTTCAATTAAATGCTTTAAAAAGAGTTCCTAGGTGTTCTGCAGAAAAAGATAGCTTGTTTTTTTCTTTTTTACTGTGATTTTAACAAAAGTTTACAGAAACATTGGGTTTTCATTCATTGTTTTCCTCCTCCCACCTCCCTTCCCACTCCTGCAGTCCACTTTACAATGCAGTTCTTGTTCCAGATTGCTGTCATACATATAAAGCGTAATCATATCTTCTTTTCAGACAGTCCTTCTCTTCATACTTTCCAATGCAGTGTTCATTATCTATCCACTCTTCTCCTATTCTCCACCCCCTCACCCCCATATATCAGTCCTATTTTATAGTAGTGGTGGTGTGCAGTATCCCCCCCTTAATAGTTGTTTATTGGCAGTGGGTCGGAAAAGGTGATGGAGTTTGCAAACAGACACCACTACACACCAATATCACAAGGGCAGCAAGAGTGATAGGAAAGAGCAGACTGGAGCCCCTTCTCCTCAAATGTTAAGTCTAGGAGGGTGCTGGGGTCTGGAGTGTTGAAGGGGACAGCCTTAGAATACCTCCACTTAGTAGGCAGGGTTAGAGACGAAGAGGGACTCACTGGCTATAGTCCCGGCCTGAATGCTTGAGGTGTACTTTCAGTGGCAGGTGAGACTGGCCAAGGCTTATTTTGTATACTCCCCCTGGGCTGCCTTCAGATTCTCCTCCTTCCCACCCCAGGCCTTCAATGCAGAGGTCTGCAGGACTTAGCCATGGAAGATCATGGCCTATGGCTTCAGCAGGGGGCACTTGTTGATGGCGTTGAGGTTGATGTATGCCTCCCCCTTTGGCTTCCAGACAGGAAGGTGGTTCCAGTAACAGGAGGGGAGTGCACTGTGTGGTGCAGTGCTATGACAGTTATGGCAATCTCATGAGAAAATTTCTGTGTGCAGGCATGGCCTGGGTTTACCATATTAGTCTTCAGCAAAGTGCTTTCCAAATAGATGTCAGCCAGCACCTTCTCATTTATGTACTGACATCACTTCAGGTTATGGTCACCATCAGGGAGGATCTCAGTCTTCACAGTGGACACAATCCCATTCTGCTGGTAGATTCTGGCATAATGCACTAGCATTTTGGCATTTTCCACAATGAGGGTTTGTGTTTTCTAATTTCAGCACAAAGCACCACTTGGCAAAGTCATCTCCATCCTTCTTATAATGGGAACAGCACTCGGACAGCCCATTCAGCCCTTGGGTGGTGGTCTGGTCATTAGTTCTTGCCAGGGGTACCATGTCCTTGTCTATCTTGATACCCACAATACCACCCTTAGATTTGATGACTTAGGGGAAGGGATACCCATTATCCACCTTCTGGTAGAGAGTCTCTTGGGCAGGATGACACCCTTCCGATGCAGGGGTCGTCATGGTTGTCAGTGGTCAGCAGGAGCTGGCGGTAGAAGTGCTGGTTCTCCTATTCTCCTCGGTGTTTGTTGTGCAGTATTTGTCCTTTTGTGACTGAGATATTTCATTCAGCATAATGTCTTCCAGGCTTATTCATGTTGTATAATGTTTAACGAGGTCATTGTTTTTCAATGTTGTGTATTATTCTACTCTATGAATGTACCATAGTTTTTCTGTACATTCGTTTGTTGATGGACACTTGGGTTGCTTCCATCTCTTTACTATGGAATAATGCAGAAACAAACATGGGTGAACCTGTATATGTTTGAGTCACGGCTCTTGTTTCTTTAGGCTATATTCTCAATAGTGGAATTGCTGTGCCAACTGGTATTTTTAACTTTTTGAGAAAGCACCAGACAACCTCCCACCACCTTGTATCATTTTACATTCCCACTAACGTGAATAAGAGTTCCAATCTCTCCACAAACTCGCCAGCATTTGTTGTTTGCTGCCCTGTTGAACTTTGCTATGGTTGCTGGGGTGAGATGACACACCACAGTTGCTTTTATGTGCATCTCTCTGATAGCTAGGGATTTCGAACATTTTCTCATGGATTTCTTTGCCATCTGAATGTATTCTATCATGTTTGCTGGAGATCTTCATATCCTGTGCTCAGTTTGTAATTGGTTGCTTACATTTTTCTTATTGAAGTACTAGAATAGTCTATAAGTTTTAGCTATGAGTCCCTTATTGCTGCCAAATTATTTTTCCCAAGTCTGTGAATTTTCCTTTACTCTGTTAGAGAAGATTTTTTGATGTGTGTAGTGGTTTGATTCTTCGAAGATCTAACTATATAGTCACTCTTGATTATAGGTTTTCCATTATGCTTGGAAGTCTGTTTATGCTGTGAATTATTAGGGCTCCCAGAGTTGTTCCTAGCTATTCTCTGATGTATTTTATAGTCATGAGTTTTACTCCTAGGTCCCTGACCTAACTTGAGTTGATTTTTGTGTACAGTATGAGGTGTGGAGCTTGTTTACGTTTTCTGCAGATGGTTTTCCAATTGTGTCAAAGCCATTTGTCATTTCCTCACTTTTTTAAACAAGCCATTGTTGCCTCCTATTTAAATCAGGCAAGACCCTGAATTCAAGTTTTTTTTGCTCAGCAAGCCATTCACTGTTTTGGGTCTCCTATTTAAAACCGGTGAGACATGCACATCCATGTTTATCATGGCTTTGTTCACAGTAGCAAGGAGTTGGAAATAACCCAAGTG